TCTTCGAGGAAGATAACAAGACTTGAGTATGAGGACCTTTGCATGCACCCTGACTTGGAAATACCCGAAGGTTACAAAATTCCAAAATTTGAAACCTTCAATGGTATTGGCAATCCCATGGTTTACCTACGAGCTTATTGTGACAAACTCATGGGTATCGGGAAAAATGATGCATTAATTATGAGGTTGTTTAGTCAAAGCCTCAGTGGGGAGGCGTTAGAATGGTTCACATCTCAAGAACTCCGTCAGTTGTCTACATGGGGGGCTCTGGCCAAAGATTTTTTGGAAAGATTCCAGTTTAATGTCGAAGCTTTCCCCGACAGATATTATTTGGAAAAAATCAAGCAAAAGACCATGGAGGACTATCGTGAATATGCATGCTGCTAGAGGAATGGTACAATTTGTGATGACTGAAAGCGAAATAACCTCTGCTTTTATTCGAGCTCAGGAACCCGAGTATTATGAAAAGATGTTGCCCATGATAGGACAGAAGTTTTCGGAGCTGATCAGAATGGGAGAAGCCATAGAAGATGGCCTCAAGTTAGGAAAGGTTACAAATTTCATTGCCTTGCAGGCCGCCAACAAATCCTCACCTTCCATGGCCACAAGATTCGCTAGGAAAAAGAAAGAGGACGTGTCTGCTGTATCTTTCAAACCGAGGCCAAGGCCGCAAAGGTTTTTTAGGTCTGGTTCTGCCATTGGAAACTCTAACCGATTCCCCACCTCAAATATTTACCTACCATCTCCACAAGCTCCAATCCCAATCTATTATGCACAATAGAACTATCAAGCACCACCGCCTATCTACCAAAATCAACCACCAACCTACCAAAATACACTACCAAATCACCAAGCCAATGCACCAGTCTACTAAAATCCCGAACAAAACAACCCAAATGCCAACAACCTACCCCATCCTAACCTCGAAAGAAAGCCTCCCAGAGGTTTCACTCCCTTGGCAGAAATACGTACCCAACTCTTTGAGCGTCTAAGAGCGGCAAAATTAATCCAACCAGTAGACACAAGGACAATTAATCCCACAACAAAGTTCTTCCGAGCGAAATAACGTTGTGCGTACCATACTGGAGGGGCAGGACATGATACAAAAAGATGTATCAATCTGAAACATAAGATTCAAGACTTGATCGATAACAGGATTATCACTCTCTAAGCCCCTGGCCCCAATGTGAACCTTAACCCATTGTCGAATCATGGAGGAGCTACTATCAACATGATTGAAAGAGATGAAGATTGGCTTGCTAATGGGACAATCAGTGAAGCAAATGTCAACTCACTTATACGAACAGTGGCCTCATTGACTATAAAGGCTCGTTCAAAGTTTGTTGTAATAACTACACCTCATCAAGCATTCACTTTCACAAAGGAAAGCAACAACGAGCAACCCAAAGAAAAGTTTGTCATCCAGGCGGCTACCGTACAAGGGATGACACGTTCTGGAAGATGCTACATTCTAGAAGAACTAACTAAGGATACACGAATAAAGGAGAACCAAAAAAGGCCGATCACAGAGGGTGAGGCTGAAGAGTTTTGGCGAAGAATGTAGCCTAAGGAGTATTCCATTGTCAAGCATTTGGAGAAGACTCCAACTCAAATTTCTGTTTGGGCTCTATTAGTGAGTTCTGAGTACCATCGAAAAGCACTGTTGAAGGTACTTGATGAAGCGTATGTACCGATGGGAACAAGTGGTGAGAATCTGGCCACTATGTTAAGTCATGTCATTGGGAGTCATCAAATCTCTTTTCGAGAAGAGGAGTTTCCACTCGAAGGGGTGATGCATAACTGTGCCTTATATATCACCGTCAAATGTAGGGACAAGTTTGTAGCGCGAGTATTGATTGATAATGGCTCAGGACTCAATATCTGCTCATTATCAACCCTTACTCAGCTAAATTATGATGTAGCGAAAATCCGTCAAAGTCGTATGAATGTAAGGGCGTTTGATAGTTCGCAAAGAGAAACTATGGGGAAGTAGACTTGTGTATCCAAATGGGGACTGCAGAATTTGTCACTGAATTTCAGGTGATGGGTATATCTACGAGCTACAACTTATTGCTAAGAAGACCATGGATCCATGTTGTTGGAGCAGTCCCATCCACATTGCATCAACTTTTGAAATTCATCTGGGAGGATCATGAAATCGTCATCCATGGTGAAGGGAGTAATCGTAATTACCCTGGTTTCTCCATTCCAGTTATTGAAGAGTCTTCTCAGGGTACTGACTTTCACATGGTGGAGATTATGATTGCTGCTTTTGAAGATACGACACTGCAAGTTCCAATGCCGCAAGTGTATTAAATGCTAGCCACAACTATGCTGAAAAGTGGTTTTGAACCTGGGCGTGGGTTAGGCAAGAATTTGGGTGGCATATCCGAACCTCTTCCTATACCACTTCAAAATTTTCGCTTCGGCGTCGGTTATACCCCAATAGAGGAAGAATTGTTTGAAGCAGGAACAAGGAAGAAACATGACTGTGACATACCAAAGCCTATTCCAGTATTGTACCAGTCATTTGTTGCTAAAGCTTTAGAGCCTGAGATTGATGGTATATTGGAAGGGATGGGAAGATTGCTTGATGAAGAAGACTGTGATGTGATCTCGGTATAATGCACAACAACACCCACCATTCGAGTTACCGAACCTGGAGAAATGCTACAGAATATGGTGGCCACTCCACTTATGATCCAACGAATGGCTTGTAAAAATGAATCTAAATCTGCTAATGTCATGACATGTCACGAACATGGCGAACCAAGTATGGTCGATGAAGATGAATGTGAAGAATATGATGAGGAAACTATGATGCCTGAACACCTTATCGAGGACTTGAGGCAACTTGAAGACGATAAAAAGCCCAACCTGGATGAAACAGAAACAGTAAACTTGGGAGATGACAAGTCGGTCAGAGAAACCTGAGTCAATGTCCATTTGGCAGCAATAGAAAGAGAAGAATTGGTCAAGCTGCTCAGACAATACATCGATGTTTTTGCCTGTTCTTATGATGATATGCCAGGGTTAAGCACTGATATTGTTTCCCATAAGCTGCCTATCAATTCAGAGTACTGTCCGGTAAAACAGAAAACTAGAAAGTTCAAGCTCAATTTGAGTTTAAGGATAAAAGAGGAGGTCATGAAGCAGATCGAATCAAAAGTCGTTGAAGTGACCAAGTATCCCACTTGGCTGGCTAACATTGTTCCGGTGGCGAAGAAAGATGGAAAATTCAGGATATGCGTGGATTATCGGGGTCTCAACAAAGCAAGTTCGAAAGATAATTTTTCCTTGCCAAACATCCACATACTCATCGATAATTGTGCTAAGCATGAGCTGCAATCTTTTGTGGATTGCTTTGCGGGATACCACCAGATTCTAATGGATGAAGAAGATGACAAGAAAAACACATTCATCACACCTTGGGGATCTACCATTATCGAGTTGATGCCGTTCGGCCTTAAGAATGCTGGAGCCACTTACATGAGAGCTGTGACCACCATTTTCCATGATATGATCCACAAAGAAATTGAGGTTTATGTGGATGATGTCATCATAAAATTCCGCGAGAGTTCGGATCACCTGACACACTTTGAAAAGTTCTTTAACAGGTTACGTAGGTATGATTTGAAGTTGAACCCAGCCAAATGTGCATTTGGAGTACCTGCAGGGAAGTTACTCGGATTCATAGTTAGCAGAAGAGGTATCGAGCTTGATCTTTCCAAGATCAAGGCAATTCAAGACTTACATCCTCCAAAGACTAGGAAGGAAGTAATGAGTTTTCTGGGGAGACTAAATTATATCAGTTGATTCATAGCTCAATCAACGGTGATATGTGAGCCCATATTCAAGTTATTACGAAAAGATGCGCCAACCAAATGGACCGAAGAATGTCAGAAGGCTTTTGACACCATCAAGAGTTGCCTTTCGAATCCACCAGTGTTGGTGCCACCACGTGCGGGCAGTCCTTTGCTATTGTATTTATCCATCTCTGACAATGCATTCGGATGTGTGTTGGGGTAGCATGATGAGATCGGAAGAAATTAGAGAGCTATATACTATTTAAGCAAGAAGTTCACGTCCTATGAGGCCCATTACACCCTTTTAGAGAAAACTTATTGTGCTTTGACTTGGGTTGCTCAAAATTTGAGACATTATCTGTCAGCTTATACAACATATCTCATTTTGAGGATGGACCCGCTCAAGTATATATTTCAGAAAGTAATGCCCACAAGAAACCTAGAAAAGTGGCAAATGTTATTGAGTGAGTTCGATATTGTGTGCATGACTCAGAAAGCAATCAAGGGGCAAGCCTTGGCCGATCACCTTGCTGAAAACCCAGTAGATGAAGGATATGAACCGCTTAGAACATATTTCCCTGATGAAGAAGTATTGTTTGTAGGGGAAGACATATCAGAATCATATCCTGGGTGGAGAATGCTCTTTGATGGAGCAGTAAACTCTATAGGATCAGGAATTGGAGCAGTGTTGATATTTGAATCGGGGCAACATTATCTAGCAACAACAAAGCTTAGATTCCGATGCACTAATAACATGGCTGAGCACGAAGCATGTATTCTTGGCATTAGAATGGCTATTGATATGAATGTTCAAGAATTACTGATAATTGGAGATTCAGACGTGTTGATTCATCAAGTTCAAGGAGAATGGGCGGTGAAGAATCCTAAAATCTTACCTTACGTACAATTGTTACAGAGATTATGCAAAAGATTTAGGAAGACCGAGTTTAGACACATGCTGAGAATACAGAACGAGCTTGATGATGCCCTTGCAACCATATCGTCCATGATACAACACCCATAAAAGGGTTATATCGATCCACTTGAGATAGTTTTAAAAGAACAACCAACACATTGTTCACATGTGGAAGCAGAATGGGATGGGAATCCATGGTATATCGATGTGAAAAGTACTTAGAAGCTGGCGAATATCCGAAAAAAGCAACAAGTATTTAGAAGAAAACAATCCGAAGAATGGCAAACAACTTCTTTTTGAATGGAGAGGTTCTTTATAAGAGGACACCCAATCTGGGATTACTGAGATGTATGGATGCTGCTGAAGCCAAAAAATTGCATGAAGAAGTGCGCGCTAGAGTGTGTGGGATTGTCATGACCCGGGAGCACCCCCTAGTCGTAACCGGCGTACTCGACCTCGAAGAGGTCTAATACAAGCCTCTTAGCATTCATTCATCGCATAGACACTAAAACCATAAGGAATTTAAAACTTTCTTTACCAAGAAAATATTTCATAATTAAAAAATAATATAAAGCAAGCGGAAGACTTTCTAGACTTTATACATGACGTCTCAAACCATCTAATACTTTAGAGTACAAAACTCGGGACCAATCCCATACACAACTTAAACAATACTTAAAAAGACATAAAAGAACATATGGGGTATTGTCCTCGAATATATGAGGACTCACCAAGTCTTCATCTCCAACACTTAGAAACCTATCAAGTAGCCATGACATGTCACCATCTCCAAATCCCTACACTTTAGTCCAAAAAGGGAAAGAAAGGGATTAGCA